GTGCGCACCAGCGGAGTCATGCCGTGATTGTAGAGCCGCATCTGTCGATTCAGATTCATCACGTTGAACTTAATGAGGCTGCCGGGGGACCAGCCCCGCACGCTGTAGTAAAACCAGGACCTAGAGCAAGAGAGAGAGAGAGAGAGCGTGGACGTTGAGCGTGCATGTGATGGCAGCGCGCACGGGCGATGTGTAGACTCGCCACGACTACTTTTTTGTTTGTGTGTGTGTATGCAAGCCTACTGGTACCACCTGATGTATGATATAAGGTAGCACCTAGCAATGGCCACGACTAACGTCATCAGAGCACGTGGGACATAGTATTTCTCTCGTTAGTAGATGCATCGATGCAAAGATGTGATAACTAAACTTTTAATCCGGCTCGAAACATTGCGGGTGAGTTACGAAGCCTTGCCTGTTTCCGTTCTCGTACGCTGTGCCTGCACAGTCCGGTCTGGTCCACACATTGAACTCATAGTCAGGCTCATTGTCATCATTCTGCGCGCTAGTCTGCAATAAATGATAAACGACGTTTCCCAACGTGCTTGCATGATCGAGACGCACTACCCGTGCACCTGCCTGCGAGCCTCGATGTACCCGAGTTCTCTGGTACAGCATTCTCGAATACACGTTGCAATCTTACGCGTGCAATAAAAGTGGGAGATAATTCTCGAATATCAATTTTTCATGATGGCCTTACCAGACTCCGATCCACTTGTTCGACTCTCCTGAGATTTCCGGAGTCGAACTTGGAGGTAAAGAAAAGTCCACCACAGTGCACCTCCATGCTGCGTCTATGCTGCGGGGACTTGAACGTGGATCTTAGCAGGTGTCCATATTTCTAGTACCAATATAGTTGGAGTTATTGTAATCTGCACATTTTATTTTAATGGTGTGAAACATGACATGACCCCAACATTGTTTAAATGTTGCAATACTCACAAACATTTAATGGCCAATGAAATGCACTGGTAGCAGAGTAGAAGCCACATAATTTTTGGTCACTACTTAGTACTTAAAATTTTTTCAGCAGAATAGGAAACTGACTTAAGTTCTGTGCAAACCTCCATGTAAGTGTTTACATAATTTTGCTGCTCAAGTGGAACATGCCTGTAGTTATGCGATACGTCCATGACGAACTTCAATTCTTAAGCCTCAGGTTTATCCATGACTTACACATGTATGAAGCCAGTGGCTGCTCGTCCGAATGTATTACCAGCAAATCGTGAGATTGCATGTCAAAAACCATCTGTTGATAGATATATGAATTGATTTATGTGTGCTACATACTCGGATGTCTCACAGGCAGAATGAGGGTACACCCAACAATCTTTATGATTTATCTGAAACGTAATATAAGCCGAATTCTAGAATATTTGTAGATCTATAAAATTCTGACTGGTCACTGGACGAGCAGACACGGCTGTAGATTCCAGCGAGTCAGTATGTCACTATCTTAGTATCTTAGCTTAGCTATCTCTAGTATAAGTACTGTAGCTCTAGTACTATAGCCCGCGTTCATTAACTGCCGCAGGACTATAGAACATTGTCAGCTTAATTTCGCTACTGCATTTGATCCCGATTGGTTCCACTGAAAAATGGCTCAGAAAACGCAAAATGATCGGGCTTTTTAACATTTATTTATCTACATGGATACCAGATATGTAGGCAAACACATGGCATCTATGGTGCATGTATATACAATACCGGTAACGTCACGCGTTCGCACGCCACAATATTTCAAATGGTACAGCCAGTAGTGCTGACTTGTGAGGAATAAAGATATTAAAGGCATAAATACATGGTGTAAAGTTGTGGAAAGTGTTCAAAAAGATAGGTGAGATGTCCATGTAGATAAATAAATGTTAAAAAGCCCGATCATTTTGCGTTTTCTGAGCCATTTTTCAGTGGAACCAATCGGGACCAAATGCAGTAGCGAAATCGAGCTGACAATGTTCTATAGACTAACTGCCTATTATTAGACTATTATAGACTAACTGCCTATT